AAAATGGGGTTTAAAATGGCACCTGCCCATGGTGTTGTTTAAGGATTAATAAATTAACGCACATAAAGTGCCTGGTACGGTACCTGACATACAGGAAGCCCTCAGTACATGTTTGTATCATTACTCATTTATCCAACAAACATTTGTGAAGCGCTCTCTCTGTGCGAGGCCCTGCCTGGGTTCAGGGAGGCAGAGGGGAACTGGACAGACGTGATACTTGCTCTCGCCGAGCGCAGTTACTGCTCAATAAATAAACAGGGTGCTATCAGGGAGTAAGAAGGACTAAGAAAGAAACAAAATGGGGCAGTATGACAGCGTGACTGGGGAAAAGAGAAATTTTAGGTGGAAGGAGCCAGCTAAGTCCCTCCGCCCCTCTCCCTTCAGTAAAAAGAGGGGCTTTTACTGACGCATTCCGGAGCGGGGTCCCAAAGGTGGAAGCTGGGGGGGCGGAGAACGAGCCAGAGAGCCCATCCCCCGCGCCTCCTCTGCCCGCTGGAGCCCCGTTCCTCGGGAGGGAGCGCCGCGCTGAGTCTCGAAAAGTCACAGAAGCTTGATGCTTGCCAGGATTCTGCAAGGGAGGAAGGCTCAAGTTCCACGAGCCATCTATTGGGGTCAAGCTTCTCAGAGGGAACTGTGTATTTGCACCGTGGACTCCTGGAGAGCGAATTCATCGTCCCTTCCATAGCTGGGACGCACAGTGTGCAAAGATGCAAAGAGATTTCTTTTCCTCTTTCCTCCTTGCCCCTGACAACCACGCTGCGAGCTGGTGGACACTGCTGCCACCCTCATCTTATAGATGAACAGACCGTGGCTCACAGAGGGAAAATGTTGATCCCACCTGACCGCGAGCCCTGAATTTGATACCTGCAACACTATCGCTCACTTTTCTGAGTATAAATAATGTTTTAAAGAGACTAAATATCCGTTAATGCCTACTATGCTTCAGGCCCTGGGCTTAGGTGATTTCATTTGATCATCAGAGTAATCTTGAAAGGCAGTCTTTGTTCCAGTTTTTCAGATGAGGGCACCAAGGCTCAGAGCCATGAAGTCACTTACTCAAGTAAGAGATGGTGGAGTAGATATTTCATCCCCAGTCTGTCCACTCCAGACCCGGAGCTGTTTCCATCTCAGCAGAAAGTAAAAAAAAACTCCATCTCCAATGCAGGGGCAAGAGGAGGTCAGGCACCCTCATCAGGGCAGAGGTCACCCCCGAGCCTCCTGCCTATTTCTCCTCTAGCTTCCAAGGGCCCATGTCACAGAGCACCCCCTCTGTACCCATGGTTAGCACAGAGTGAGGCAAGGGCTCTACTAATTTAAACAGCAAGGAAACTGGCTGCCTTTGAATGGAAGCTTGAGATGCAGACCACAACTAGACACTGACCCCACCCCCAGCGAGACTTGTCTGTTCTCGATGGTCTCTGTTCTTCTCTACAGTCCCTAGAATCCAGAGAGGATTGGGCTGGAAGGGGTCCTTTCATGTTACAAAACAAAAACCTCATTCATTCATTCAACAGATATCATTGCCTGCCGCTCTGGGCCAAACCATGAGCTGGGAGCTGGACATGAAACAGTGAACAAAACTGACACTACCCTAGGCACAGAGAGAGGAAGCTCCTGGCCAGAAGTCACACAGCTCAGACTCAGGAAAGGCAGGATTCCTGCCTCCAAGCTCTGCCTGCCAAGGCTTCAGCCATGCTGGCTTGGGTATGCTTGGCTCATTCCGGGTCAAGCCCTGGTTCTAGCCAGCGGGTGCCTAGAAGCCTTCCCCCTGGTCTACAAGTGACTCTCAAAGTCCCACCTTGAGACATCTACTGCAGTTTTTCATACAAACAGCCCTGAACATTGACCTCACCTTCTCTTGGTACAGTTTCAAGTAAACTCCCAGCTGGGCCTTGGACAGTGAATGTTGCAAGCTGGCAGGATTTGGGAAAGGCAAATCTGCACCAGGGTGCTTTTCAATTACTCAAAAACAATTTTTGTGAGGTTTTACAGCCATCAGCAGAGGCTTAGAGAGGCAGTGTGACTTGACCAAGGTCACATGGTTAGGAAATAGCCCACCAGGATGCAAACCAGGCGTGTGTGAACCCCAAACCGGCTGGTACCCACCCAACCCCCACCCTCAAGAGGTCTGTGCCTCCGCCAGACAGGTGGCAAAGGCGACTGCACAATTCCGGAGAAACCACAGCTCCCGTTGCTTCCTGAGAGAGCCCAAGGAGAAAGGAGGTGGCGGCGCCGGCCCGGCGCATTCAAGGGGTGGGAGAGGGTGGAGCGCGTGACGGACCGGGCCGCAGCTCCCACCCGCAGGTAGAAATTAGTCAAAACACTCTTGCGCGCATGCTGTCCCGGGTGCCTGAGGCGGGCCAGGCGCAGAGGCACAGGTCCGACTCATAACCTAGCTCAGCGGTTCTGGCGCAGATCTTGCGCTCAGGTGGTTCATCTCGCCCTCTCCAAAAAAGTGTCCCAAACTTTTGAGGTTATTAATTTAAAAAAAAAAAAAAACTAAATACATAACAGCAGGCAACTTTTCGAAAAGGAGATGGAGGCGGATATCGGGTTCTTTCCCGGGCCAGAAAAGCCGAAGGCTCTTACCTGCAGGAAATCGCGCAGCCCGCAAAGGCGCGTCTGTCTGGAGCGTTTCGCTTCGGCGCGGGACGCTGGCGACCGCCTCCTCTGCAGCCCAGCTGGGCTCCGGCACCGTGTTTTATACCACTATAGGCAATTAATATTGCATCAGCCGTATTTTAAATTTTCAAAACCCACAATATAATGTAATGGCATAAGGGCATTTATTATTAAAGGACGCGCGATGGAGAGGGAGGTGGCGGAATCGCTGGGGCTGTTGCGCAAAGCGGGCCAGAGGGGCTGAGGCCCGGGGGCTGCGGGCGATCCCCGGGTTTGCTTTTGCAGTAAGGGGGCGCGCTGCGCGGAGGGGAGACCCGCTCTGCTTGGAATTTAGGGCCAGAGATCTGATGACCCAGAGCTCTTTGAAGACACAGTGGAGAAATGTGCAGACGACTCCTGGACTTGGAGCATTAATTTTTAAATCATGAAGGTGTTTCTGCGGCTCACAAATAAAAAGGTTTCTTCCTCCTTTTAGAGGGCGTGGAAGAGAGAGAAGGGAGCTGGTATCTGTTGAGCATCTACTGTGTACAGGGCACTGCGCTAGGATCTTCACAGCAGACATCTCATGCAGGCCCCACGGAGAAGCCGAGGTAGACCCTTGGGTGACAATTGCAAATGAATTTCTGAAGACACCCCAAGGGACCCCAGCGGACTCTGTCCCAGCTAAGAGTACTTTCCTCCCTCTTTGCATCCATCCCCTCACTTCCTATCTAGCCGTTTGAATCTTTTTAAATGTTTCCTGTTAAGCCCCCAAGCCCTACCAGGCGCCTTAAATAAACAATCTGAGTCCCGACGGTAACCTTGTGAAGGAGGTATTAGCATCTCCATCCTGCAGACAAGCTGTGGAGGCTCGGAGAAGTTAAGAAACTGGCTTCAGTATCGTTCAGCCAATGAGTGGAGGCATTGGGGGCTCCTACTCCCATCAGTCAGGCTTCAAAGTTTGCGGTCTGAGTCAAGTTGAGGAACAGAGGCTGATAAATTCGCATGCGGGGACGTGTGGAGGGAACTGCCTTGAAACCCTGTGGTCGGGAGACCAGCGGCAGGATCTCCCTGGAGGAGATCTGAGTGAGAGGGGGAGGCGGCTGGGGAAGAGAAGAAAAGACAGAAGATGGCTGGAGACTGGCCTGCCAGAAGTGACAGCCCAGCCCTTCTGGCTTCTCACTTTTAAATCCTTTCCCAGACTAGTACTCCTTAGCCTCTGAGAAAGAAAAGCACTGCGATTCGGGTTGAAAAATAAAGCATTTATTTTATAAGTTAATTCAAGGGGTAAAGAGAAAAGAAAACAATATTTTATTTGTATCTATTCGGAGAACTAAACCAAAGGTCACACAGCAACACGCAAATTACATGAAGCAACGAAAGATAAAACGTGATGGGGCGATCTGGCCCCTCTTTCCGCCCAAGACTATAAGTGAACCTCCACCGAGAGACACCCATCTAGGGGGATGGAAAGAAGCAGAGTTAAATAAATAATAGGAAGTAACGATGCTAACAACAACGACAATAATAAAAGCGCAACGAGGTTAGACGTGTTGGAAGGACTTGCATATGATTCGGAGAAGTTACCGTTATTTTCGAGCAGCCGCCTCTACGCTGCGCTGGGAGTCTGGCTGGAGCAGCGAGCTGGGGTCAGATAGTCCTCAGTCCGTCCGGATGGTACCAATCCCCCGCTCTCCAGCAGGCGGTAATTACCCCTCAAACGCCAGCAGATGTGGAGGATGGGCCAGAGCGGGTGCCGGCTGCTGCTTGCAAACAGCTAAGCGACCCCAGCATTTTCAGTCGCCAAATTGAGCCCACCTTTTCTGAAGCCCGACTTACCGCGGAGAACAGCTCGGAGTCCGCAACTCCCCGCACACTTTCCCTGAACCTAATCCATGCTACCTTAGAAAACTTACAGCAGACCAAAGGATGAGGTGCATAAAATTTAGGAGGGGAAGGGAGTATAAGGCTATCCTTTGGAAACATACATGTATTTTATATACTCTAAATAAATCTCCAGTACATGTTTGTGCCCCAGTTAGACTTTGTATTATTATTTATCACTTCCTTCCCAACCCTTCGCCCCTTGCCTAATTGCTCTTAGCAAAGTGGCGCCTTCACCCCAGAGTCGTGCGGCTAATTCACTATCCCCCGCGTTTGGGCTCCTGCCTCGAGGTCTCGCAGTCCGGCGCGCGAGGGCGATTTTCAGCACCACGGACAGCACGAGCCCCTCCAGGCCTGCCCTTCGTGAATTTTTTCTTAGCGCCCAAACTTTTCTGGTGGGAATAGAAAAGAAAAAAGAGAAAGAGAAGGCCGGGAGGCAACCAGGTGGGATAAAGGGGAAAGTCTGTGGCTTCAGGGGAGAGAGCCTGACCTGCCAGGAAACCGGTCTTGGAGTCCCCCATAACCGTACCCCTGGGACGTGCACACAGCTCTCCCGGCCCCGGACGCTGCGCCACCCGCTGCAGTCAATGGACAGCCGAGTACTTCATTCGTTTCTGTTTCTGTCTCTGGTTGCAGAACCAGACCCTCACCACGTTCTTTTTAAGGTCCAGTTTCTCAGCAATGGCCGCAATCTTCTCGGACGAGGGCCGCGGCTGGATGGCGAAGTAGGCCTCGAGTGAGCGCTTCTCCGGCGCCGCGATGGACGTGCGTTTGCGCTTCCGCTCACTGCCGTTGAAGAGCTCCGGCTTGCTGTTTTTCTCTCGGTAGGCTGCCTCGGCTTCCTCCAGCCAGGCCTGGAGCACCGGCTTGAGCGCGATCATATTGTTGTGCGAGAGAGTGAGAGACTCGAACCTGCAGATGGTGCTCTGGCTGAGTGAGCCTACGCCAGGGATCTTGAGGTTGGCTAGAGCCGCACCCACGTCCGCCTGGGTCACTCCCAGCTTGATGCGCCGCTGCTTGAAGCGCTCGGCGAAGGCCTCGAGCTCTCGCGGGTCCGACTCCACGTCGCTGAGGCATGCGGGCATGGCGCTGTGAGGCGCCACGGCGTGTGGGTGACTCATGCCCATGGCCTGGTGCAGGTGGCCCATGGCGCCCAGATGGTGCGGGTGGATCTGCGCCGGCATCACTGAGTGCTCAGGGGCACCCAAGCCGCTCACGCTCAGCGTGGGCGAGATGTGCTCTAGCAGGTCGCCCTCGAGGCCCTGGTGTACCGCGTGGTGCGGGTGCGAGGTCAGCGCCGCCGGGTGGGAGATGGGCACGGTGGACGAAGTGGACGTGCAGGGCACACTGCTCATGGTATGGTAGGTGGCGTCGGGCTTGAAGGGATGGTTCTTGCTGTGGGAGACGATATCCACCGCCGCCAGAGCTTCGGCGCGTGCCAGCAGGCTCTCATCAAAGCCTCCAAATATATTACCCTGCAGCTGCAAGCGAGAAGGAGCACAGCACGGTCAGTGGGGAATACTGTCAACTCAGGATTAAAACACATTTTCAAGCAACTGAGATGCCTCTCCTCAAAGCCCAGGTCATAAAAATTAATACGGAGACAGAGGCTCTGCTGGAACAGACGTGTGGATCAGAGACATGAATGAGAGAGAGAGGGCGCCGAGAGAGAGCGCGAGGGAGACAAGGAGAGGGGTTCAGACAGCGGCGATTGTTCTGGGCGACATGAAAAAAACATGAAGCAAGTGCCTGTCAAAAAATGTGCCTTAGAGCGGTAATTATGCTCCACTACGTACCTGCGGGGCTGGGAGACAGACTCGGCGCATGGCCTCGGAGCCGGAGTGCAGGCTGGAGAATTTGGGTTCTTGAAGCACCGGGTGCATGCCGAAAGGCTGCTTGGTGTTCATGGCCATCATCTTCGCGCGCCTGGCAGGGAGGCAGCGAGGGACATGGATTAGGCTCGTCTCGCTCGCTCGCCGCGCTCCAAGTGAGCGCCGCTCAGCGCCCGCGCTCCCCTCGCCCTCTCGCTCGCTGCCTCCCCTCTCCCCCACCTGCTTCTTCACTCATCTTACAAGCAGCCTGCCAGGAAGGGCCCGGGCGCGCGCAGGCGTGCTCACAAGCCCGGGACTCGCAGGGGCGGCCCAGGAGGCGAGGCCAGGCAGCAGCTCTCCACGCGCCTTTTGGCGCCCGCCACGGCCGCCCCCGCCACAGCATTTATACCCCGGCCCGGCCTGGCCTCTCTCGGTCCGCCCCGCCCCACCTGGCTCCAACGCGTCAGACTTTGCGGATTTTTCTTCTTCGTGGACTTTTTCCCTCCAAAGTCTCAAACCTCTCCGTCCTGTCCCAACTCGCACTGCCCAGATCGAAGGGCAGCCCCGGGCTGAGCAGGGCCAGGAAGCTGACCCTACTCCAACCCCCCCATCTCACACACACACACACACACACACACACACACACACACACACTCCTTGTCGGCCCGGCTGCCGCCAAACTGCCCATTTCCAGGGCGCTCCTGGCCCCACGCCCGAGCCGTCCACCAGAGTCCGGCCCCATGGCGCAGCGAAGAGGCGTCTCCAAGCGCGCAGACTGGCTCCAGGGAGGGTGAGGGGCTGCCAGAATGAGCCCCAAGTGACCCCCACCTCCCAACCGCTGCAAGGGTGGAGGTGGGGAAGTAATTGCTTACCCAATCCAGGAGGCCTGTGGCTTCCTCCCCAGGCTAGCCTTTCTTGCCTTCGTTTGAAAAAGACGACTGACCCCTCTCCCCCTTTCCCCAACCGGGCAGTCTAAGGAAGTTTACTGAGTGTTTTTTAGAATAGTAACAGTTCAGGACTGCGTACCGCCCTTGGGAGTCAGTGCACTTCCGGGGCGCCAACACTTGCAAGCCCCATTCCCTGTAACAATAGCTACCATTTTTTGAGCTGCTATTATGTGCTAGGCAATTTAGAGAGCTAGCTCATGGTATCCTCACACCGTATGGAGTAGGTGCTGTTATTCCCTTTTACAGATGAGGAAAATGAGGCTCAGAGGGTTGAGTGATTCGCCCAGGACAACATGGTTGGGAGCAGAGCCATTCACTCACTCGTTCCGTTATCCATTCCACAAGTATTTCCTGATGGCCTACTGTGTGCCAAGCGCCACGTCTGATTTCCCAGGTTCTTAACCACTTAGCTACTTTGTCTTCCTTCCGGAAGTGTCGGGACCTGAGCGACCCGGTGTTAGTACTGCCCTGTCCCCGCCTCCCTCTGCTCTCATCCCCTCTTCGTTCCTCCTCTCCTCTCCTTTCCACGCGCTAGTAGACGTCGTGAATAATGGATGGGGAATCCTGAGACCGCGGCCGCGCCGCCGTACGGGTTCGGAGAGAAGCCCTCTGCACGCCCAGCTGAGCCCACCTCTAGACGGACGCCGCCACGGCCCTGGGAACAGCCTTCAGCGTTCAGAGATCTGACCAGCCGTCGGGCTAGGCCTCGCGCCCCAGGGCGTGGGCCGGGTTTCCCAGAATGTTAACGTGGGGGGAGAGTGGAGTGCTGAAGGGGGCCACCCTTGGCCTAAGAGGTAGCCCAGTACGTCAGGGCTCTCCTCCCTGGGTCCCGCCAATCTCTCTTCTTCGCATCAGAGCCAGGCCCCTAGCCTGCGTCCCGCCTTCCAACGAAGGAAAAGGGCTCAGCCGAGGTGCGGGAAGCCACCAGCTGCCCTTTCGCTAAACCTCTCTGAGCCTCGCTTTCCTTGCCTCTAAAATGGGAGCTGCACGACTGTTTGCCTTCTTGGGTTCTAGAGATGTATCGAGCTAGAGTAGAAAGGAAAGCATTGAGCACTGAACGCAGTGCTCAGTAACCCTACTCACAACCTGATGCTTTGGCGTGCAGCCCTGCCCTCAGATTCAAAAGGCATCTGGGCCTATTGCCGGGCTGAGAGGCCAAGAGCCATCTCAACCTCTCTGTGTTGCAGTTTCCTCATCTGTTAAGTGAGGATAATAATTTCTCCTCCACTGATTGTTGTGAGGAATGCACTGAGATACGCATTTGGCACAGTGCCTGGCACATTGAAATCACGGAATAAATGTTTGTTCCTGTCTTCTTCCTCCTTCAACTTAAAAAGAAACCATCCCGAGGTGGTTTGCGCCTCATTTGTCTGCATGTGCAAACTGGTTCCTTGCTCTCTTTCATTCATTCAACATCTGCTTTGTGCCAGACCCCATGCAGAGGGCTGGGACCCAGATGTGAATCAGACTCTCTCCCTGCCCTCACGGAGTCTCCAGTCTCAAATCCACCACAGGGAATTGACTGTAAACTTGCACTGCAGTGGAGGGAATGTAGATTCATGCACGAGACAGAGCAAGACTGGTGGGGTTCTTCAAATACAGAGTGCACACCAGAACCGTGAGCCTCGGGAGGGCTGGGGTTTGGACAGCAGTTTAACATTGGGCCTATGTGACCCTGGCTGGGCCTCAGTTTACCCACAAGGAGAGGGCTGGACTAGATGATTGCTAAGTGCTTCCAGCTCTAGCAGAAGACTACTATTCTGGTTAATTTAAATGAGATACATTTTGAGCAAGTCAAGAGCTTCTCTCCAGGGACCCTTAACTCCCCAGAAGCTGACAGCAGCATTATTCTATCACTTGCCAGCATTTAGGACCACTCATTCTTGTTTTCTGCCCAATGCTGGAAGGCAAAAGGGAAAGGGGAAGGAAAGGTGGGGATACTGGATCCTCCAGGGAGAAGAATCTGTAACTTGCCTGGCCCCATGGTGCCCTGAGACCCACACTCACTCCTTAATGCCCTGGTTGTCTGTGAAGCTGAACCCCCCAGAAACAGAGGGAAAAGGCCACCCACATCCATCCTTCTTTGCTTTGTCCCCTCAGGGGCCTGGGAGACACTAGCCAGGGTGGAGGTCAGGCAGGGGTCAGAGCCAGAGCAAAACCACTGGCACCCTTAGGCCTCCAATGTGGACCTTCAGCTCACCAGCCCCACTCTGGCATCCCTAGGCATTAGGATCACAAATCAAAAGTCATGATTGCATCAGGCAACCTGTGTTCCCTGAGTTTTTCCCATCCTTCCCTTCAAGAAGGTCTGCTAGCAGGTCTGGGCAACCAGCAGTAAGGAGACATCCAGCCTTAGGGACTAGTCTCTCGGAGAAGGCCCTCGAGGTAAGGGACTGGAGAAGAAAGGAGGAAAACATCATATAGAAAGCAATTGGAAGAAAAGCCATAGAACACAGTTGATAACATCCTCTGCGCTTTACAGGATTTGCAAACTTAACTTCTGTCAGGGGCAAGTCCAGTAAAATAAATTAGCTGAGTGTATGAAGGGAAGATTGGGACTGCAGTAAACTGGAGAGCACATGCCCCCACCCTCACCCCCATGGCATTAAATTACAACTAAAACACACACACACACACAAAGTATGGGCTAAACAAAATCTGTCTGAGGGTCCAAGTAAGGACTACATGGGCATTTATGCAAGGAACACTAAAGGGGGCATTTTCTTCATTTTACAATCATTTCAGAATACCTACCACAGCTGGGTCTTGTGATAGGTTCTGCAGATATAGAGCACACAGCCTTGGGAGCTCAGAGTCAGGTGGGAACATAAAATTGCCACTTGTAACTCTAAGTCAGAACACAAAACACTATGTCTCCAACGGACTAGCCCTGTAGGGATGTTAGGGCAGGAGGTAGAGGCGTTTTCCTGTGGGCCAGTGGTTTTCAACTTTAGTATGAGTGGGAATCATCTGCAGCCTCTTAAAATACAGCATCTTAGGACCACACCCAGAGATTTTGACCGCAAGGAATCAAGTGCTTTTTAATAGGCATCCATGACTTGCACGCAAGTGATCTGGGATCCTCAACTTGAAACACTTGCTCTGGACACTTGTTACTTGACATTATTAATATTATTATTATTGTTGTTGTTGTTGTTGTTGCTGAAAGCCCTGACCTAATTATGTAAGTTTCACCAAGACTCAAAGAGAGAGTTTTCCTTCTTTGAGTCTTTTGCATCTTCCTCTATTATCTCTTGGTAAGAACACGATGTTTTATGGTCTCTGCTCCTTGAAGGATCCTGAGACCTCTTTGAGGATGAGTCTTATCTGTCCCTATGTCTCTAGCGCCGGTGTCTACAGGCTAGGCACCATGTAGGAGCTCAATACAATAATTCGTGTCGAATGAATGAATGCATGGATAATATCCTCCCTAGTACTCTGGCCTGTGACACGGTGACAACAAGAAGAGCTATTTGTGGAGTGGCTCCGTGTGCTAGGCTCTGGGCTATCTGCTTTAGACCTGTTGTACACTGAATCCTCACATCAAGCCTGTGAGGTTGATGTTATTATCTCCATTTTACAGATGAGAAAACCCAGGCACAGAGAGATTGAGTTGCTCAAGACCACACAGTTAAGCATGGTAGGGTGGGGACTGGAACCTAGGTTTTTCTGACTCCAGAACCCCTGGTTTTAACTAACATCCTGGGCTGGCACCGGTTTTCTCCGCTACCCAAGCCCAGGGGCTGAGGAAGTGGGAAGACCTGGCTTTTACTTTTCTCCCAGAAGGCGAGAAGGCCTTGCTTCCACAGCCTGAGAGGCTGGCTCTGCTCCAGGCATGCTTCCGGCTGAGGCCACTGGGAGAAGCCAGCAGCTACCCCCTCCCACCTCCATCCCTGGCCTAGCTCCACCTCGGCGAGTTGGGAGGGGGCAGAGGGGTGGAATGGGAGATGGCCGATAGGACAGACGGCCAGGCCGAACTCAAGATGCCATCGAGGGGAGGCAGCTGGCGGGGCTGCCCCGCCAGGTGTTCGCAGCCGCCCTCCTCACCTTCTTCTGCCTTTCTCTCGTCTCCTTTCACAAACTTCTCACATGTACCCGCCGCCTGCGCAGCTGCTGCCGGACTCGCCTGTCGGCCGCTCGCGGTGCATTGTCTGCGTGAGCTCGAGATGCCCCAGAGGGACTCGGGAGCCTGAGGCTGAGCATCCATGAGGGATCCGCACGCGCCAAGAGCCCTCCGCTT